GAAAAGGAAATTAAGAAAATTTTACTTACAGTAGCATCAAAAATAATAAAATACTTAGGAATAAATCTAACTAATTGGGTGAAAAACTTGTAAACTGAAAATAACAAAACATGCTGAAAGAAATTAAAGAAGACAAAAATAAAAGGATACCCCATGTTCATGAATTGGAAGACAATATTGTTAAGATGTCAATATTTTCCAAAGCAACCTATAGATTCAAAGTAATCCCTATAAAATCCCAACATCATTTTTTGCAGAAATGGAAAAAATTATCCTAAAATTCTAATGGGATATCAAGGGACCCTGAATAGCCAAAACAATTTTGAAAAAGAAAAAAGTTGGATAACTCATACTGCCTGATTCCAAAACATGTTACAAAGCTACAATAATCAAAACAGTGTGGGCTGGCATGAAGACAGACATACGGATTAATGGCATAGAAAAGAAAGTCCAAAAATAAACTCTCATATATATGCTCAAGTGATACATAAGCATTCTAACACCACTCAATAGGGAAAGGATGGTCTCTTCAACGAACAGTACTGGAAAAACTGGACATCCACATGCAAAAGAATGAAGTTAGACCCAAGTAAACTCACACTATATGCAAAATGGATTAAAGACCTAAACATAAAACCCAAAACTATAAAATTCCTAGAAGAAAACACAGGGGGGTAAAGCTTCATGACATTAGATTTGGCAAATAATGATTTCCTGAATATGATACCAAAAGCACAGGCAATGAAAACAAAAATAGATAAAAGGGACTACATCAAACTTAAAATCTTTTGTTCATCAAAGGACATAACCAACAAATGAAAAGGCAACCTATACAATGGGAGAAAATATTTGCAAATCAGATATCTGATAATGGATTAATATCCAGAATATATAACAAACTCCTACAACTCAACAACAAAAAACCAAACAAACTAATTAAAAAATGGGCAAAGGATTTGAATAGACATTTTCACAAAAATAATATATAAATGGCCAATAAACATATTAAAAAGATGCTCAACATTATTAACAATCAGAGATATGAAAATCAAAACCAGGAGATATCACCTTGCACCATTAGGATGGCTACTATTAAAAAAAATAAATAAAACAAGAAAATAACAAGTGTTGGTGAGGATGCAGAGAAGTTGGAACTTTGGGCACTGTTGGTAGGATTGTAAAATGGTACAATTATTATCAAAATAGTTTGGCCATTCCTCAAAAAACTAAAAATAGAACTACCATTTGATTCAGCAATTCTACTTCTATGTATATAGCCAAAAGAATTGAAAGTGGGTTCTCAAAAAAATATGTGCGCATCCGTGTTCATAGCAACACTATTCACAATAGCCAAAAGGTGGAAGTACCCAAATGTCCATCAATGGATGAATGGATAAACAAAACGTACTGTACACAACATAGTATTGTATGCAATGGAATACTATGTAGCCTTAAAAAAGAAGGAAATCTTGTCACATTCTACAACATGGAGGGTATTATGCTAAGTGAAAAAGCCAGTCACAAAAGGACAACAAATACTGTACAATTCCACTTATATGAGGTATCTAAAGTAGTCAAATTCATGGACACTGAAAGTAGAGTGGTGGTTACCAGGGGCTGGGGAAGGGGGCAAAGGGGAGATATTGTTCAATGGATATAGAGTTTTGACTTCTACAAGATGAAAAAGTTCTAGGGATCTGTTTCACAACAATGTGAATATATTTAATACTACTGAACTGCACACTTAAAAATGGTTAGGATGGTAAATTTTCTGATATGTATTTTTACCACAACAAAAATGTTTTTAATAAAAAATAAAATAAGGGAAATATACAAAGAAATCTAAATCATCTGTTTGCTGAGTAGGGAGAAAGAAAAGAAAAGGGAATAAATCTTTTCCTTCTGTGTAGATGGGTGTGTTTTCATATCTGTTGCACTCCACACATGCCAGCTCCGAAGAGAATAAAGGTTTAAAACCTTGAACATGATAACCTGCACTATTTAAAACCTAAGTCAGACACTAAAACCCATCAGAAAAGCCTAGGTGTCAGGATGTTAACCTTTAAGTGTTGGGATGTTGACCACATTCCCAGAGAAGAATCTTGCTCATAGCAGGACACTCCAGGGAATCACAAGAATTGTGCCAGTCTGGGTTCCTGATTGCAAATAACTGAAAAGGATGCTGGCAATGTCAGAAGAAATAAATTTATGGAGGTATTGTGGGGAGCTGACAGAATCCACACTGAAACTGGAGAACCAGTTTAGAAAACAGGAGGAATTTTGTTGTTTGGGTAGCCAAGAAAACACCCAGGCCACACCCCAGGGTCAGGTGCACACAAACACCATCCAGAGCTATACCGAGCCCCATCACCCCCAGACACTCACCTGCCATGAACAACCTCCAACTGATCCTGGGCTTCTGCATCATCCCCCCAGTGTTCAAATTCTGGGGTGAGAGAAACTGATCGGTCATGCCAGGGAGCTTCCATTCAGCAGGGAACTCCTCCCAATAGGCAGAATATTTAAATGATAAAAGAGGGAGAGAAGGCAATTGTCTGTGTTGGTTACCAAGTATTTAGCAGCTGCTTACTCTATGTCTCACATGCCCAGCTCATCCACTTTAAAGAAAAGTAATACATTTTTAGCCAATTCCAGGAAATAGAAGAATGTGCAGGCTTTCTGCACCTTGTCACTTGCAAAGTGGTAAGTTTCCACAGGTTAACCAACCAGAGCAGACCACTCAAACTATCACTGGGTAAAGCAAGATGCACAGGAGCAGGTGGAATGAACAAGGGCTATGGTTAGTTGTTCTCTAATGCTTTTGCCAAAGTCAAATTTACTTGACATTGTTAAGAGCAGATATTGTCTTAAAACTCCTGTCAGAACAGACAGTGCACACACCAGCAGCTGCTGTCACCCCACGATGGGAGTAACAGTATTCAAGCAGAGAAGATGTCACTTATGTGTCACAGTGTAATCAATATGTAAGTTTCTAGCCAGCGCCCAGTCTATCTGAAAAAACTTTCACAGACTCCATAAGGAGATACATAGAGATTTAGAAGTCATACAAATAAAGAGAATAAAGTTACCTTTATTTCACATTACACTCTTTTATTCGTTCAATACATTCCTGTATTCAAAGCACTCTGAAGACTTCTGCTTTTATGATGATGGAGTAGATGTCTCTACCTCCTTTCTCTCAAAAAGTCAACAAAACAACAAGGATTTTAAAAACAGAAACAGAAATTCCATTTTTTGATAAAGCTAGGAGATATCAACAGCCCTGACCCACAATGTATGCCAGAAGTTGGTGGAAAATGGTGAGGGCCCTTGGAGAACACAGGATGGTAAAACCTCAGTGTCTGCAGAGGCAGAATCAATGAGAAGCAAGCTGCAGGGCCCCAGAAAAGGTCAGCAGTTGGAGGCATCAGCTATTGTGAAGGTGGGGTAAGTGGGGAGAGGTAGATAACGACAGTCTACACAAGCAGCAGTTAGATTCCTGGGGTGCTTCACTCTCCCCAAAGAGTTAGAAGGTACATTATTAATAGACATGCCTTCAGGGAAGCAAAAAACATATAAACACGGGCACTGAAGAGAGTGAGTGAAAACAGGAATATGAAGTGAAAATGTGCAAGATAGAGAGCAAGACCCTCCAGTTCCCTCACCCTACAGGACCAGAACCCCAATAGCTGGGCTGGTATTTCCAAAGCAAGAGACTGAAAGGCCATTCTCTGGAAAAAATTAAACCATCATCTGAGAAAAGATCTACAGATACCAATACCAGGATCTGCAACAAGAATGCTAACAGGTTACTCAGTCATCCCATAGCAAAGCCCACTGGGAAGCAAGCCTGTTTTCATATACAGGCACACACACAGTTTCTAATTAGCTGTCCAGTGCCTCACTTCTTAAATAAACAAAAGACAAGGATCACCAGACATCTAAGGAAAGCCCACCACACTCAAGAAAAAAAGACTAAAACAAAACAAAGTGGGAAAAAAAATCAGTGGAAACAGAGACAGTACCGGTAACAGAAGAAAACTTCAAAGAAATAATACTAAATATATTTATTGAGTTAAGACATGGGGTTCATATCATAAAAATACAACATTATTAAAAAGAAAAAATCAGAGAGCAAGAAAGGGAGGAAAAAGATGACAGAAAGTTCAAAGAAAAGATTAAGAGGTAAATATTAAAAATCTCCAAGAAAGAAGAAAGAGTCGAAAAGGCAGACAACAGAAAAAAGATAAAAATATTTGAAAATCAAGGTAAGCAATCCAATATCCAAATTAATAGGCACTCAAGAGAAAGGGAACAGAAAAAAAAAAGGAGAAAATTTTCAAAGAAAACAATATTAAGAATATATTTATAACTCAATCATACAATTTCTTAGATTATAATGGCACACTGAGCTGCACTCAGCACAATGAACAAAAAATAGCTTACACCATGGTAATTCACCAAAAAATTTTAGAATACACATATGAATAAGAGACCTTAAAAATATCTATAGAAGAAACTGACAAAAACATACATTAGACATCTCAATTGCAACACTGGAAAGCAGATGATAATGAAGCAATAACCATTAAAATTCTTTCCAAACTAGAATTATATACCCAGACATTACCACTCAACTGCAAGACTAGTATAAAGGCATTTAGACACCTGCAAAGTCCAAGGGACAGAAAACTGCTGGATTTTTGTTTTAAGCCTTCTAGCACTATTTGACTTTCAGCTTTACTTTCTTTTGAACTGTATGGTTTAAGATTTTCAATTATTACCTCATTTTGGTATGTAGGTACAAGAGTACATTTTCTATCCTCTATAATCATGAATGGAATACACCCTTGGTTAATACCCACTTCCCCCAATAAAACATAAAATCATTATATTAAAAAACCACAAAAATAATAACATTTATTTTTATTTAATAATACACTTAAGAAGTGCTTTAGAAACAGTCACCATATCCTCTGAAATAAGACAGATATTTTTATCTCTTGCTTAAAGATGTGAAAACTGAGGCTTAAAGAGATATGTAACATCCGAAAGGAGTCATAGCCAACAAAAGGCAGTACCAAAACCCAAAGCTATATCTGGAGCCATGTTCAGGATTCTCCCCACTATGCTACAGGTAACAAGTCTGTGTATAATGTATTCATGGCTTTATGCTCCAACTTACTCTCCTTTATGCACATGGGGGGGAGGGTACTGTTACCTTTGACACCACCAAAAGCCCTCTGTTATCCCTTTCCTCCTCCCTAATGACAACCCAGCTATTTATTTCATCTCAAGCACCTCAGCACTGTAGTTCTCTTCCCCAGGCCATCCTTAAAGAACTGTAGGACAGGTCCCAACATAAACACTGACTTATAGAGCTATGGCAGAAAAGCAAATCCTAACTTACTCATTAGAAAGAAGATTCTCCGTTTTTCTTTTCTTAACCTAAGGCATAAGAAGGTAGGTGGGTAATTAGGCAGCAATGACTCCATCTTCGCATATGCAAAATATAGCAGAAAGGCCCCTAATATATTTTAGATGTTCATAATGATCCTTCTGGCTCATTATCATAAAAAATGGAACTGTGGTTTATAATCAGCTATTACCAGTTATTTATACCACAGAAGGATAAAGATGCAAGAATAATTACCCCATTCACTCTGCCCTCCAAAATGTATAAAAAAATACGCTTCGAAATTTAAAACACAATAAACAAACCCACACACACACAGTTTCCCTTCCTACCCCTTCCCAAAGCAAAGAGTAAAGACGGGAAGACTGACAGACACACATGCACTCACATTCACACACCACACAACCACTCACACGCACACACGGTCTGTGGCCTTGGATGCATACCCCTCCTCACCCTCTATTAGCCTTGTGGACCTGAACAGGCACTGGTGAAGGGGTCACGGCCTTCATTGAAAACACCCAACTACACTCCAGGTGATGATGTGTCTAGAAGGATGAAAAGAAACAGTGTGATGACAATCTAGCCACTTACTCCACAGTATCGGTCGCCATTAAATATCTGAGGTGGCAGAGGATTTCCCTGAGCAGGCTTCTTTTCTGGGGGGACGTTTTTGTACATCCACTGCCTCTGTTCTTCAGACATTGTGATATCCACCTCCTCAAACTCTATCTTGTTGGCTTCCAGAAATCTAACCACATCCTGCTGTTTCTTCTTTATCTAAAGAGAGAAGACAAACAAATAAGGAGAAATATTCATCTGAAACAATATGTGTACACTTCCAAATTTAACTAATTTTGATTTCTCATTGTCACTGATAACAAAAAAGGAGGTGACTTATGTCAATACCATGCACTTTCTACTCACTGGATATCCAGCAGAGGATTAAGCAAGTCCTAACACAGTGATTTCTCCTCCTAGACTCCCCAGAAGAACTCTGAGGCACAACTCAGATTGCCTGGAAAGAACAGACTATAAGGTGAAAGATTCGCTTAGTTCTCAGTGGGCCATAACCACACCCCCTCCCACCCCCCATCCCACCCTCAACCCAGCAAGAACTTGACATTTATAGTCATGAAAGCTCTCTCTGCCCAAAACCATTTGAAAACCATGTATAGACCAGACCATGTGAGATGTTGACATTTCTTTGCTTGATGAGAGCAGCAACATTTTTATTCCCCTCAGCAGCCTTTCAGATATTCCACAGCTGTAGCCACTATCATGAAAGTATCCTTTCATCAATTCACAAGAGAAAAATGTTCTCCACTTCTAAGGTGAGAGTAAACAACAAGCACCACCTTACTCTGAACTCTGTTTCTTAACCCTTTTCATCCCTCTGATCTTTCACGTTTCCTCCTTCAGTCACTAGGGGTCAGGTGTGCTCTTGAGGAGCTGCAAACGCGTCTGAAGATTTTCAAAATGTGACCTACCACCCTAATGTAAGGGTATGAATTAACTAATTTAGATGGGATGACCATATTCAGTGTCTTAAACACAGCATGTAAAACAGAAAAGGCAAGCTTGTTTTCTTATAAGTGATTCTGGAAAATCTACATAAAGAACAAACTTAAGTGGTAAAGTAAATTTTATAATGGCCAGAGAAAAAGAACAATTTTGAGAGGTCAAGCAGCCAGAAAGACCTCTGGTCATATAAAATAAAATGCTTGAAGAACAAAGTCTCACACACTGATTGCCTCCACCAATCCCCTCCTCCCAAATCCCCCCCCCCCCAGAAAGCCTCAATGGCATGTGTCTCTGAGGTTGGAAATCTGTTATATGCTATGAGCAAAGAGATTCTGATCACTGGGTTGAAGTCCATGAATGACTAATAAGATGGTGTGGTTATTATGTACTGAAATAAAAAGCTGGCAGATAGGACATCTTTAAGCTCAGTGATATTATAAGATGAGAGACATACTGCATGATTATCCAAAGTGATAGTGGCATTATCTCAATTTCTTGAATTAAGACATTTCTCATGGGCCGGCCCGGTGGTGCACTGGATAAGTGCGCCGCTTGGGAAGCGCAGCGGCGCTCCCGCCCGAGGGTTCGGATCCCACATGCAGACCGGTTCCCGCTCACTGGCTGAGCGAGGCGCGGGAGCATCACCGAGGGTTGCAATCCCGTTGCCGGTCCCCGGTCCGGTACGGGGGCAACACTGAGGGTTGCGATCCGTTGCCGGACACGGAAAAAGACAAAAAGACAAAAAAAAAAAAAGACATTTCTCATTTCTGAAAAAGTTAACTTTTTTCCCTCACTGATAAACAATTCCAGAAATGTGGTTATATTATTTAGAAACTTCAGCTTCCAAAAAAGCAGCATCCATTCTACTTAATTTCCCCTTAAAACCCTATGAGGTAGATTTTATTCCTGTTTTACAGATGAGAAACCTGAGGTCAAAGTGGTTACCTATTTTGATCAAGGTCCTACAGCTAGTGTGTGCTCTTGTGAAAATAATCATGTCATTTTCCTGCTTAAAATCTTTCCTTAGTGGCTCCCCATTGCCCTTTGGAGAACATAAACACTTCTTAGCCCTGCAAAATGTCCTTCACGATCAAGTTCCTTTAATTATAAAAGCAACCTACTCATATTTTTAAAAATCTGGAATTTGAGGCCGGCCCGGTGGCGCACTGCTACAGTGCGCCGCTTGGGAGCGCAGCGGCGCTCCCGCCTAGGGTTCGGATCCCACATACAGACCGGCGGCTCACTGGCTGAGCGAGGTGCGGGTGCAACACCGAGGGTTGCGATCCCATTGCCGGTCCCGGTCCGGTACGGGCGCGACACTGAGGGTTGCGATCCGTTGCCGGTCACGAAAAAAGACAAAAAGGAAAAAAAAAAAATCTGGAATTTGTAAAACAAGCAAAATGTTACCAAAAATCCTACTACCCAGGTAACCATTGTCAAAATTTAAAGGAATGGGTCTAGATTTTCTGACTAAATATAGAGTTCTACATATCCAACACATTTCAAATGTTCATGATAGTGATCAAAAATGAAACTGATACATAATCAAACCTTAATTTTCCATATAATGTATATACACATAACATCCACTCCTACACCAAAATGTGGCTACTTAAAATCTTATACATTTTCAATACTGGGCTACATCACAGACACACAGCTTCTTTACTTTCCCACTCCCTGACCTATACACACAGATACACACTCACACACCACTGCATTTATTGCTGAACAGTGTGACCAATCTTTCCTTTCACAGGACCACACTTGGTAAAAATAACTGCACCTTGCCCCTTTCACTCAACAATGTATGAAAAGCATGAATTTTAGTATCTGCCTTGAAATCCCATCATGTACACATACAGTTAACTACTACTCTATTGCTGGATATTTGTCTGGTGAAGGCTCATTTCCTGGTTCATAGATGGTGCATTCTTTCTGTGTCCTCACATGGTAGAAAAGACAAGCAGCTCTCTGGGGCCTCTTTTATAAAGGTACTAATCTAATTCATGAGGCTCCATCCATGACCTAATTACCTCCCAAAGGATCCACCTTCTAATATCATCACATTATGGGTTAGGATTTTAACATATGAATTCTGGGAGGACACAATCATTTAGATCATACCAACATCTTTATTTATAATCTTTGACTATGTTTCAGTACTACTTTAGGTCAAAGCCCTGTGAGTGAAACCCAGGTATCAAAAGGCAGAGGCATTTTTCAGGCTCAACTGCTTTCAAAAAGGCCACACTAATTTACACTCCCATTAGTATGGTCTGAAAGTGCCCATATCTCAACACCCCTCCCTCCTTTCTGTATATGAAAATTAATCATAGAAGATTACAATTCAAATACATCATTAACACTAACAATGCTCAGAAAGCAAAGGACAGTTTCTTACTAATAGCGGTGATGACTGACGGAGTACCATAAGGAATAAAATGTAGGAAATATCATCTCTGTTTTAAAAGAGGAAAGCAGGGGAGGCAGGACCAGATTTTATCTGGTAATAAAGTGTCTCAAAGTAATAAAGTGTCTCAAAGTAATAAAGTGTCTCAAAAAGATCACTTTAATACTATGGAGCTTAAAAAGAAAAAAGGAGAAGCTCTATATGTACTGTTAATACTGTTATGAAATGATCTTCAAGATATATTAGTAGGTTAAAAAAAAAGAACTGTGTGTAGACTAGGCTCACTTTTTAGGGAAAAAAAATGGAGAAAAATAGAAACACATTTGTATTTGCTCGTATATATAGTGTTTAAAAAAAAAAAAAAAAAAAAAAACTCTTGAAGGTCATGTAAGAAACTAACAGAAGTGGTTACCCAGGGGCAGGGGGAATAGAAACTGGGTGAGAGGACAAAGTGGAAACAAGAGTTTTGCTTTAAAATTATTTCAACATTGTAAGTGTGTTCACATGCAAAAGACTGAAGGAACGTATTTTTTTTTTTTTTTTTTTTTTTTCAAAAGATGACCGGTAAGGGGATCTTAACCCTTGACTTGGTGTTGTCAGCACCACGCTCAGCCAGTGAGCGAACCGGCCATCCCTATGTGGGATCCGAACCCGGGGCCTTGGTGTTATCAGCACCGCACTCTACCAAGTGAGCCACGGGCCGGCCCAGGAACGTATTTTTTAAAGAGAGAGAGAGAGAGAGACAGCACCCTAGCTTCACACAGAGAATGGCATGGAGGGGAGCCGTGTAAGCCGTAAGGATGCCGTGTTTTATATAAGTCAAGTCTTCCCAATGTGATATGAAGCAGAACTCAGAGCATTTTGTTAGTCACTGGCCTCCATGATTTCTTACACATGTAAGAACAGGCAGATGATTAAAAATAAGAAATGAAAAAACAAAACAGTTAAAACTGTAGAAAATTAGCTAATATGACAGCAAATCATTCAAATAAACAAGGTGGGAGAAACTGAACTCAGAGAAGAAAGTTTTGAAGTGGATGTCTGTGACATCAGCATCAGGAAGGAAGACGAGTCACATCACCACGGGCTGTTTTTCAGTTCTGCAGAGGTGAATGTGGCCTGGAACTGTGGCAGCCTCCAGGCTTGAGGCAGGGGGACAGGCAGTTCAGGGGGCAGGGGCTTGGTAGAACACACCAGCCTGCTGGGCAGGGTCACAGGTAATAGAAAGGCTGTTGTGTGGCAACAGGAAGCCTGCAAGGACACTTCGTGTGCTAGGCATAATTCCAGAGTTCAAATAACAATATCATACACAATCATTTCCTTCACACAAAGAGTTTTATTCTCCCCACAGTTCGACTTTTCTGAAATGAAATGTACTTTACAAGTAATATCAAAAGAAATTAGCTAAGCAAATGGAAGAGAAGTAAATTGCAAAGCAACAGTCACTTCCTTTGTCCATGTCAACTTATACATGGGTAGAAGCTACCTGTAAATCATGTTTGTTTTTATTTAAACACACTTAAAAGCAAACGATGGTAGTTATTTGTCCAGTAATCAATCTTTCTCTCTTTCTTAATACAGAAGTCTGGTTTTGTTTAGGGATCAGTGTGCTCAGCTACAAAAACTTGTTTACCCCAAACACCTCTATGGCTACAGGTGATCACATGACAGTGTCCTGGCCAATGAGATATAAGACAGTGTCCTTAGGAAAGCTCCACTTAAATGAATGAAAAGACAAAGCCCCCTTTGTCCTTTCCCCTCTCTCTTCCTTGCAGAAATGCACACATGGTGCAGGCCGTGGAGGGGCCTAATGCGAAAACAAACACCATATGCTAGGGATGGT